TGTTGCTGTCTGTTCATACCCGCTCTTGTGTCCTCACCCAGTCATTGGTGAGGCAAAGCTTTGGTTCATCCTCCTCTATACTCACTGTGGCTTGCCTCACACGGCTCTGCAAGAGTCTCGATCTTATCATTTCTTTTTCCTGTTTGAAAATCCTTTTCCCACTCAGTTCAGATTCTCTCTGTTAACTTTGTTACACACGTGCACACACACACCCCCAAAGTCCCTTCTGTTATGAAATAGGAAAACCCTCATAGGATTTTAGTGAGCATGAACTTCATAAGGCTCATCACGTGCCTTAACCTGGTAGGCCCTGGATAAATTTAGTTGCCATAATTTATTTTAGTAAGTTGTTATTATTAAACACTGCTATCTAGCTTCAGTAATAGACCTTATTGCCCAAGAAGACTGCCCTGCAGTATTCTAGTATTTTGAAACTGTAAGTGGATAACCTTGAAATAGTCATGGGAGCTGAATGTGTGCTGATTACAGTCTAGATTGCCGAGGTAATCAAGTACAATGAGCAACACAGTTAAACTGGCTCATATTTAACGATAGGCATGATCATTATTGTGCCATATGGTAATTAGATGTAAGTGGTAAGTTGTTCCGGTAAATGATGTTAATCGGAGTTAAAACAAACATGGGGAGAGGGAGTGGGAGGAGGAAGCTGGGCTTTGCCATCACATTGTTTTTCTATGTGGAGTACAGTGTTCCTGAGAACCCACAGGAGTCAGTAAGAACCAGTGTGGGTCACAAATGGCTTGTGAGGGCTGGAGTTTCTCCAGCTTGTTTGCTGGAGAGATGGCTAGAGGCAGGCAGGGCTGTGAGCGGAGCCCGGGGCCCTCTGAGTCACTGCAGCTGGAAGTGGCTGGTAACCAGAGGTCTTGCTGCCCTGCCTTGCTTTCCCAGCTGTCCAGTGGCGACCAGTGCAAAGCAGGTGACCCGATGTCTCAGGGATCTGTCCGCTGAGGTTCTGACTCTCCCCAGCAGGCTTACAAGTATACCCCACACAAGCTGTGCAATACGGCCCTCTTGTGTTTTCACATTTGCGGATGAAAACTTCAGAAGTAGAACATAGTCTTTGCAGTTATGAAACCGTACCAATTTCTACTTGTGATTTTTTTTTTTTTTTTTAGTAAGGAGTTTCTTTTATTTTTCTTATTTGTTTGCTTACTTTTTTCTGGTTGTGAAAATAACATGTGTTCATTGTAGAAAATAAAAGTAAAAGAATAAAATTAAAATAGCCCATTATCTTGCCATGTAGATACAGACAGTTACTGTTAACATTTTTTATATATTTTACTCTTATTTCTATGTGTAATTTTTAGGATAATGAAATTACTTTGTATATATAGTCCATTTATTATTGTTATTATTTTTGAGACAGAGTCTTACTCCATTGCCCTCGGTAGAGTGCTTTGGCATCACAGCTCACAGCAACCTCTAGCTCTTGGGCTTAGGTGATTCTCTTACCTTAGCCTCCCAAGTAGCTGGGACTACAGGCGCCCGCCACAACACCCGGCTATATATACAGTGTATTTTTTTGTCCTGCTTTTTTTCGTTTAACATTAATTATCTCCTAAAATTTTTCCTGTTATTTAGTGCTATTAATAAATAGTATTTAATGACTACATAGTATTATCTTTAATTGGAAATTTTATTTATTTAATTTTTTTTAAGACAGAATTTCGCTGTGCCCTGGGTAGAATGCAATGGCATCATAGCTCACAGCAACCTCTAACTCCTGGGATGTACCTGGGATGACAGGTGCCCACCACAACACCTGGCTGGTTTTCCTATTTTTAGTAGAGATGGGGTCTGGCTCTTACTCAGGCTGGTCTTGAACTCCTGAACTCAAAGGATCCGCCTGCCTCAGCCTCTCAGAGTGCTAGTATTTCAGGCATGAGCCACTTAGCCTAATTGGAAATTTTAAAGGCAGTTTTCTTTATCGTGTAAAAAAAATTCAAATGTTTCAGTTTATTGTTCTCAGAGCATTACTTATAAGCAAAAAACAGTAGCTAAAAATAGTAGAATGGAAGTTAAGAGTCTTGTGAAATCATCTTTAGCATTTGAGGTCCAATACTTGAAAGATTTTTCTTTAATGTTTTGGTGGATTATAGTAAGTTGAATGCTTTTTTTAAGAAAAGTAACTTCTACAGTTTACTTTTAAATGGCCATGTATATGGTAGATATAGCAGTTCAAAATACTCTCAAAACTAAAAGCCTTCATTTCCCTTAAAATATCCTTATAATTCAGGCTTTTTATGACATGTGGCTTGTCGCCCTACCCCCTTGTGTGTTTATAAAATTAAAGCATTAACTTAAAAATTAGCTCTCCATTTGAGGTCCTGGTTCTACCCCTGTCATCTGCTTTGCCCAAGTTACCTGATTTTCCCCAGCCTCAGCTTCCTCAGTACCTAGCTTAGAGGTTCTTACAGCAAACAGTGGGTAAGACATGAGAAGAACTAAGGTGGCTCGGCGCCTGTGGCTCAAGCAGCTAAGGCACCAGCCACATACACCTAAGCAGGCGAGTTCAAATCCCCAACCCAGGCCCGCCAAACAACAATGACGGCTGCAACCAAAAAATGGCCAGGCGTTGTGGCGGACGCCTGTGGTCCCAGCTACTTGGGAGGCTGAGGCAGGAGACTCGCTTGAGCCCAGGAGTTGGAGGTTGCTGTGAGCTGTGATGCCATGGCACTCTGCCCAGGGGGATAGCTTGAGGCTCTGTCTCAAAAAAAAAAAAATAAAAAAGAGAAGAATTAAGGTAAATGTTTAATAAATGCTAACTTAATGTGAAAATAATGAGGTGTAGCACAGTTCCAATTAAGTCAAGTTTCTGGTCAGTTTTTCATAACTTAAGGAGTAAAAATTTATCAGAAAATCTATGGATAGTTTATATATAGATAAGGGGAAAATGTATAGGGAAGTATTTTTTGCCTATGAGGAAAGGATTTTGTAACTCTTATTACAACAGTGTCTTCAAAAGATCCAGTTTTGATCAGCAAAGCCATAATAATAATAGCAATTATCATTTGTTGTACATTTCATGTTCTCCACATTATGCTTAGCACTATATATGCATTTTTTCATTTAATCTTCGTTAGGAAACTTCGAAATAATTACTGTTAGTATAATGTGAGTAAACTGAGACTCACGTTACTCAGCTTGTCCAAGTTTGTATAGTAAATAGCAGAGCTGGGATTCAAACCCAAGACATTTGTGTTTACAGACCACACTTTCCTTAAGTAGACCAATATATTAGCTGTCTATTTTGAAAAAATTTCAAACTTACAGAAAATGTTCAAGAGTGATACAGTGGGTGGTGCTTGTGGCTCAAGGAGTAGGGCGCCAGCCCCATATGCTGGAGATGGCAGGTTCAAACCTGGCTCCAGCCCCAAACTGCAACAACAAAAAAATAAATAAATGAAAAGAAAAAGAAAGGGCAGTGCCTGTGGCTCAAAGGAGTAGGGCACTGGCCCCATATGCCAGAGGTGGCAGGTTTAAACCCAGCCCTGGCCCAAAAATGCAAAAAAAAAAAAAAAATAGTGATACAGTGAACGCCTACCTATGCTGCCCTGGGTCTCCCCATTTTAGCAACTTGCCATATGTGCTATATCTCTTTTTCTAATACATTTTGCTTGTCTCTTTGTTTTTAGTGACCCATTTGAGTGTAAGTTTAGACAACATGATCCTAACTACTTGAGCATGTATCTGTTATGAACAAGGACCACAATTCAGTTATCAAATTAAGCAAATTTAGCATGTCTACATTATCATCTCATATATAGACTACATCCATACTTTAACCAACGTCCCCCTTCTATCTTTTATAGCAGTGTTTCCCTGGTCCAGGGTCCAGTCCAGCATGTGGCTGTCATGACTCCTCAGATCCCTTTAATTTGCAGCAGTTCTCCAGCTTCTGTGGTCTTTTGTGGCCAGGCTTTTGACAGCTGGCTGCTCTGTCATGAGAACACCACTCAGGAGGGGGTGTTCACCTCTTCCGTGCTCATCTCCACGCCACCTTCCTTCCTCAGGTCCCTGCAAAGTGGCTGCAGCAGACCCTCACCACACAACTGTCTGGACTGTGTCTGTTCTTGTAATTGTGTTTCTGAGATCTGTTGCTGAAAGGCATTGCAAGTGTAAACAACTATGATTATCATTTGTGTGTGTGTCAAAGCTGGTCACTATCACTGGCTTACAATATGTAGTTCTTTCTCAATGGTCAAATACGTTTTGGTTTCTGTCCCCATTTAGTCTCAAAGAAGATGGAGCAGGAACCCCTTATGACAAGGAATCAACAGCCATTATAAAGCTGAATAATACAACAGTTCTTTATTTAAAAGAGGTGACAAAGTTCCTGGCTCTCGTTTGCTTTGTCAGAGAGGAAAGCTTTGAAAGAAAAGGTAATGTTTTGGTGTGATTTAAAAGAGGCATTTCAATCCAGACTGATACTGCATTTCTTGTTTGTTGAATGTGAGTGGGCAGTGCCATGTCTCCTTGAACTTGCATCCTGTAGTGCAGTCCCCTGGCTGGCAGCCCCAGGTAAGCTAGAGGTGGGTGAGCCCCTATGCGGCCATGCGACTCCTGGATCTGTGGCCAGCCTACCTCCTGGAGGTGTGGCTGTGACCGAGGTGCAGGGACAGCAGGACCAGGCGATGCTGCCAGGTTCTTAGCCCCTGTGTTTGGGAAGCGGGCAGGGGTTGCATTGCCCCTCCCCCTATGTGGAAGGCTCAGGCCCTGCCCCTGGAAGGTCTTAGGTGACCATTTGTTCTCATGTAAAGAAGGGGACAGCTTTATACCTTGTTAAAGCTAGATGGTGTTGGACTCCTATTCAGCCTTTCTATTCTCTGAGTCTTAAAACACAGGGATAGTATCCTGATTCTGAAAGGGAAGACATGAAATATACTTAGTAACTTCACCAACTATCTTTTTAGGACCAAATTCAGTTTTTTTTTTTTTTTTTTGAGACAGGAGCCTCAAGCTGTCCCCCTGGGTAGAGAGCTGTGGCATCTCAGCTCACAGCAACCTCCGACTCCTGGGCTCAAGCGAGTCTTCTGCCTCTGCCTCCCAAGTAACTGGGACCACAGGCACCCGCCACAACGCCCGGCTATTTTTTGGTTGCAGCCAATAATGCAGTCATTATCGTTTGGCGGGCCCGGGGTGGATTCGAACCTGTCACCTTGGGTGTACATGGCTGGCGCCTTAGCCACTTGAGCCCCGGGCACCGAGCCAGTTTTTATTTTGAAATAAAAGCATTTAACCTCATTCTCCCTCTCCATCCTAAATTGGGATGTGCTGTGGCTAGAGATTTTTGTGAGTAACTAGGGTATGGTTTACTAATGTGTTGGGTGAAAAACAATTCCAATAAAGTGGCAATAGTAACATTTACTGAAATAGCCTTTGTCTCCAATACATGTTCAACATAAAATTGCTCTGAAAATTTAGGAAAGTATGAAGAACAAAATAAGACCACTCATCTCACCGTCTGTAGCTAAACTGATGTTAAATGTTTGAGGTTTTTTCCTCCCTCTCCCTTTACTTCCTTTTGTTTATCACAGTTTTCTTTCTTCTAATAAAATTGGGGCCATATTACCCATTTAATTTTATATCCTGTTGTTTTTACTTATGCATATAACAAGATTTTCCTAATTCATTGGCCATAATTTAGATTTTTATTACAAAATTAACAGATTAATTTAGAAATTTAGAAACCTAGGCACAAAATAATTATTAATTAATTATTATTATTATTTGAGACAGAGTTTCACTACAATGCCCTTAGTAGAGTGCTATGGCATCACAGCTCACAACAACTTCAAACTCTTGGGCTTAAGCAATTCTCTTGCCTTAGCCTCCCAAGAAGCTGGGACTACAGGCACCTGCCACAACGCCTGGCTATTTTTTGGTTGTAATTATCATTGTTGCTTGGCAGGCCCCGGCTGGTTTTGAACCCACCAGCTCCGGTGTATGTGGCCAGCACCCTAGCCACTGAGCTGTAGGTGCCAAGCCTATGTATTTATTTTTTGAGACAGAGTCTCGTTATGTTGCCCTTGGTAGAGTGCTGTGCTGTTGAGGCTCACAGCAACTTCAAACTCTTGGGCTTAAGCAATTCTCTTGCCTCAGCATCCCAAGTAGCTCAGACTATAGGTGCCTACCACAACACTCAGCTATTTTTTTGTTGTGGTTGTCATTGTTGTTTGGCAGGCCTGGACTGGAGTTGAACCCTCCAGCCCTGGTGTATGTGGCCAGCACCCTAGCTGCTGAGCTACAGGTGCCAAGCCAAAATAATAATGATTGATAAATTCACTCAGCGGATCACTTTTAATACTTCTGTATAACTTCCTGGCCTTTTCCCTGCATGTATACTTGTGTACATACTTTTTAAAAGAACAGTGATATTGTAGGATAAATACTACTTCATAACCTTCACTTAAATTATTACAGATATCTTTCCAGCTCACTAAGTTATTTTAACCACATCATTTTAATAATTGTGTTTGATTCTTTTATTTTAGACATTTATATTGTTTCTAAGTTTTTTTGAGACAGAGTCTCACTTTGTTACCCTTGGTAGAGTGCTATAGCATCATAGCTAACAGCAATCTCAAACTCTTGGGCTCAGGCAATTCTCTTGCCTCAGCCTCTGGAGTTGCTGGGATTACAGGTGCCCGTCAAAACGCCTAGCTATTTTTTTAGAGATGTGGTCTCACTCTAGCTCAGGCTAGTCTTGAACTTGTGAGTTGAGGTAGTCAGCCTGCCTCAGCCTCCCAGAGTGCTGGGATTATAGTTGTGAGCCACAGACCCCAGCCTGTTTCTAAATTTTGATGTTATGAACAATACTATGGTGACCTTTGCACTGAATATTTGTGTGCAACTTTGGTTATTTCCTCAGGAAAAATTTCAAGTGGAATTACTTAGATGGAAAGGATTGGCACATTTTCTGATATTTAATGCATATTATCATAATGTCCTTCAGGAAGATTCTCTGGGTTTGGACTGTATTCTTGTCAATATTGGGTATTGGGATTTTAAAAAGTTAATAATTGAAAACTAGTATATTATTTACATTTCTTTGTTCTTAGTGAAGTTGTGTTTACCATTACCTGCCAAATTGCCTTTTGTGTCATTTGTCCTTAAAACTTTTAAATGGTGTTCATCTTTACTTTACATTTTCATTTGGCTAGAATCTAGAAGAGATTATGATAGATTCATGAGATTTTGAAGGTAACCAATACTATACCTTTTTTCAGTCTAATTTTACACATGATTTTACTCAGTCCCAGAAAATATAAGTGACTTTCTCTCATGGTCACACTACCAGAACTTCTCTCTACACAGACCTAGGGGTGTGTGTGTGTGTGTGTGTGTGTGTAACCATTATAAGCGTACATTCCCTTGGTTAAAGAGATTTCCCAAATTTATTGGTGACTACTATTTCACCTTGATTTTGGAAGCTAAGGAAAGTAAATATAATGTAACTACAGCCCCAAAACCATGCAGGATGGCAGGAAGTTCTTAAATTGAGGGAACATCAGAGTCAGCCTTGAGAGCTTATTTATTTTGAACTGATTTTAAACTTAACAGAAAAGTTGTAAAAAGAGTACATAGTTTTCATATATTCCTCATCCAGCTTCCCATAATGTTAATATCTTAACACACTCTAGTTCAGTTATTAAAACCAGAGAATTAACACTGGTATAATACTGTATAATACTGTTAAATTTGAGACCTATTCACAGTGAATAGGTCACAGTTTTATTCATTTTAATGTTCCAGCTAAGAAATGTAAGTAGGCAGACTTCATATTCAGTGTCATCGTGTTGACATGTGTGCTTTTTAGGGTGACCAACCACCTCCATTTGTCTGGGACTTAGGGTGTTCCTAGGATAGAGAAACTTCAGTGCTAAAACTGGGAAAGTTGCAGGGAAATGGATGAGTTGATCATCCTGCCTGTCATGTAGTTATGGTGAAAGAGAATTTATGAATGTAGGGAGAGGTTTGACTTGGTTTTTGGTGCTTTATTCTCAAGTGTTGTTGGGTCCTGTTGGTGCTGGTAATCAGCACTTGGTTATCTTTTCCTCCTATTGGTCTCTGAGTTTTCCTTAATGATCTCCACAACTATTTTGGTAGAAAGAAAAGGATTGAAATTAAATGCAGATTATAGGCACCTTGGGAAGGAGAGTGGGTTGAAAATGTGATATCCTGGCCAGGGTGGTGGCTCACACCTGTAATCCTAGCACTCTGGGAGCCTGAGGTGGAAGGATCCCTTGGGCTCAGGAGAATAGCTTGAGCCAGAGTGAGATGCCTCCCCCACCCATCTCTATTTTATTATTTATTCGTTTATTACTATTATTTTTTGAGACAGTCTCACTATGTCATTCTTGGTAGAGTGCTATGGCGTCACAGCTCACAGCAACCTCCAACTCTTGGGCTTAAACGATTCTCTTGCCTCAGCCTCCTGAGTAGCTGGGACTAAAGGCGCCCGCCACAGGACCGGCTATTTTTTGGTTGCAGTTGTCAGTTGTTCTTTAGCAGACGTGGGCTGAGTTCAAACCTGCCAGCCTCGGTGTGTGTGTTCGGTGCCCCTACTCACTGACCTACGGGCCCCCAACCCATCTTTATTTGAAAAAAGAGAAAAAAATTACCTGGGCAATGGAGTGAAACTCTGTCTCGAAAAAAATAGCTGGGCGTTTGGCAGGCACCTGTAGTCCCAGCAACTCCAGAGGCTGAGGCAAGAGAATTGTCTGAGCCCAAGAGTTTGAGATTGCTGTTAGCTATGATGCTACAGCACCCTACCAAGGGTAACAAAGTGAGACTCTGTCTCAACAAAACTTAAAAACAAGTGAGCTGTGACGCCAGAGCACTCTACTGAGGGTGACAAAATGAGACTATCTCAAATAAATAAATAAATAAGATAGCTGGGGCAGCACCTGTGGCTCAAGAAGTAGGGCACCAACCCCATATGCTAGAGGTGGTGGGTTCAAACCCAGCCCCAGCCAAAAACTGCAAAAAAATAAAAAAGATTTTCTTTAAAAAAAAAAAAAAAAAGATAGCTATGCCCTCTCTCCCCCCAACAATTAGAACAGAATTTATGGGAGATGGACCTGGACTTTATTAATTTTTAAAAAATAATGTGGGTGTTTTTAATGTGCAGGTAGGATTGAGACCTCTAAACCAGAGAAGGATGTGGGACTATATTAACTGTGGATAAAAATAGTGTTTGTTTTCTTCATGTCTCTATTCTTGTATTCTCAGCTACCTTTAATGAAAGGGTTGAAAATAGGAAACACTTATGATGTTTCTTTCCTTTAAAGACCTCAGTTGTGAACTTTTGCTTTTTTACCTTTAAAACCCAAACACAGTAAAATTACTGTTACATTTTGAAATGCACAAAGATTATAAGTGAGTTAAGATTTTTTTTTTTTTTT